TCCCTGTCGTGTCGAAGGCATGACTAGCTTCCCTAGAATGTTGGCCCGATGCATGCTGTTTGCAGCTGCCATGGCCGCATCATTCGATGATCCCCTAGCCCAATGGCTGGACAGCCTGAAATTCTCGCTGCAGGATGTAGCTTGGCAAACAAGCAGTGCCAAGTGCTCTTTTGGCGGGTTCGGTTCAGTGGTTCTGATTGCTGTTTCTACTGGCAGTCCAATGACTCACTTTGATTTTGATTCATTCAGAAAGAACTGTCTTGTTTGCGCTTTATTCACTTGTCATTTGTGCGAAGGGCGACTCAGTTGCGAAGCCCACTGACGCCCACTGCAAGGTAACGCAGGAGAAAGCGGGCATCACATTCAAAGTCTCCAACTTGGTGTGTAGCTTGGCCATTTTTTGCATCAACTTGCAGGCTTCCTGGCTCTTCCTGGTCGTGCTATGCTGCTTGGGGTTCATGTTCTTGGGGCCACTTGACAGGTCAGAATCTCCAGCTTTCAGACATCAAGTCAGCAGTTGAGGAGCAACTTTGGTGCATGACCTGTGAGATCCAATTGACAGTTGGCAGATGTGTCCACCTCTTTCAATGTCCAGGACGTGGGGATGTCCATCACGCTGGAGGGCATCGGGATTGTCTGCAATGGACACTTTGATTATCACGGCTTGGCCATTGTCAGCGGCTCTGGTGATCTTCAAGCTGTGGCCACTGGGCAAATTTCGCAATCCATACCTCAAGGATCCTAAAGGGTTGGCCACAGGGCTGGGGTACCTGGGCTGTTCGGCCCTGGCTCCTCGTGTGGGGGAGAGCATCCAAATCTTTCTCTCAAGTTGCCGTCCAGAACATTGTAACAATTGTAGCATGTTGGGAAGGTGTGATATGCGCCGACATGCCACTGCAGGTGAAAAGCAGCCCAAGCTCCACTGCCACTGTGGCACTGCATGGAACCAACATGGCTCAGAACTTGCCCTGGGCTGTTGAGGTGAGATGACCTCAAACATCCCCAAGGGCCCTGGGTGCCTAGCTGGGGTTCGTGTTCCAAGGGCTCACCCGGGGCTCACCCGGCAGGCTACATCTTGCGATGCCAATTTGGACTTGAAGCTCACCCTCTCTGGCTCCATCATCTACGATGTCATCAACATCTTCAAGACGCCTGTGTCAGCTTTGATCAAGCATCAGGTGCTGCTTGCGGTCGTCTCAAAATGTGGAACCCAAATCCCATGCTTAATCATAGTTTCATATAGTTTCATAGTATTTCATAGTATTTCATATGGTTCAATTTGTATCAATTTGTTTCGGCCATCAATTTGTTTCGCATTCCCAGTCTGGAGACAACCCCATATCTGCCATAGCCAACCCCACAACGATAGTCGAAAAAAATTGAGCCAGGCCATCGCACAAGCCTGCACGCAGCTGAAGACCATGGCAGCTGGACAGCTGCTCAGCGGTCAACAAATGGATGGCACACTCTAAGGTGATGAAAATCTATCAAAACCTGTGGCTTGGGTTATAGTTCATAATTAATTGATATAATTCTGACCGAAACCAGCTGATACAATATCAACATATATTAACATGTGCCCCGATATTATTGTACTTGCTTTACACATCTTTATACGTACGTATGGTGGACCATGTGAGTGGTCATGTATTTTTGTTGCTCCACCGGCCTGGCAGTGGGTGCCTGATCGTGAGGGTATTTTCACACAACCAACCTGTCTTGCAATTCAAAATTTGGATGCGGCTCACGTATGGCTCACGTCATTGCAAAAGGGCTGAATTCTTGGTGGTAAAGTCTACTGAGTATATGCGCATGCAAGGACACGCAGATGCTTCAAAATGCACGGCAATTGAGGCTTTCCCAGAAGCTTGCTGACTTCAACCGTCTGATGTTGCCATCGGATGATGGTGAGTTGTTGCTGAAATCTACCGGGTTAGCTGCCAAGCCGGAGGCGCCCACCAGATCTTATTGGCAGCCTATCAAACATATCAAACATAATCAATTATAAATTATAGATGTGCAATAATGTGCATATGTATTGGGCATACATGGAAAAACTGTATATGTATGTATATGTTACTTTATGTTGAAAGCGAGTTCCATTTTCCATCATGGGCCAGTCACCTTGTGTTCATAAGACACTAGTGTCGGGCTATGTTCAGAGCCGTGTCAGGCTGGAGCTCCGTGGTTCCACGTGGACATGGAGAGCTTTGAAGATTTCGTGGAGGACGTCGCCAACGGCGACCACGGTGACCGCCCAAAAGCCGAAGAAAACGACGCCGGATCGCAGGGAAACCTGTTCCTGGCGGAGCGACGCCTGAAGGTGGAAATAGAGTGGGACAGAGTGGCCATGAGTGGCCGATGGTTCCCAGCTAGGAAGTATTTGATCGATTTTGATAGTATGTAGTAATATGTAGTATTTGTATGAATTTGTGTGTCATTTGTAGTGTCATGCAAAGTAACATAAGGCAATCGTAGGCTGTAGGCAATCCGCCAATTTGATGTCTGGGTTTCACCTTGGAGGCAGTCAGTAAGGATGGCACCGTGGATTGGACCCATGACGAAACTTTGAGTCACTTGGCAAATGTTCTTTGGAGGTGTGTTCCATGTGTTCCAACACAACATCCACAGGAAGCTGTGAAACCTTGAATCTGCATAGGATTGGCATACTGGGGGTGCTTGAAAACCTGCAGTGTCAAGTCGTTTTCCACTTCACTATGCATGCACTTAGCGGATCTTAGCGGCATGAAAGCAAGCACGAATACATTTCCATCCTTTACATCACTTTACTACAGATGCCAGTGTTATAGATTATTTGAGGAGTGTTTGGCCAGTGTTCAGTTGCATTTGATTGTGCCTTCTCACCGGGTTTCACGCGGTGAGTTTGATGTGATGTTGGCCCAAAATGGCCCAAAGTCATAGAAACAGCTCCGGCTTCTCGCACTCAGAATGGATCTCTTGGTTGGTGGATGATGTCATTGGACCCGAGCGTTTGGATCAGGCTGTGAGCAACTTGGCTAGCGTTTTTCAAACATGAAAAACATGGTTCTTGCTTACAGTAGGTACCCATAGATCCCTGGTACAGTATCTCCATGTTGGTCCATGTGTTCGAGATTTTCGGATTTCACCTGTGTTGTGAATATGCCATGTTTGGAGACTAGATTTTGAGCTCATGAAGATGTTCAACAGGGAGTGGGAATGATCAGAGACTCAAAGAATGATCAAAATGAATCAAAATGAAGAAAATAAACAGGTGATGATTCCCCCCTGAGATGAGCTTAGTAACTTTAGTACTTGACTATACTTGACTATACTTGACTCCTGTTTCGGGATGACCATGGCACCCTAAGGTTGGGCAGTGAAGGGCAATGAGACCGTGATCATCCCTGGACCTGCGCCTTGTGCGACATGGGACAGTGCCAGGGACAGTGCCAGTGCTACGGGATGCTACGGGTATCCAATGGAGCATTCAATGGAGAAAATAACTGAAAATAATGGAGATATATGGAGATCAATGGAGCAATTTGCAGCGGATTCGACATGATTCGACCGGCACCGGGGGTCGAGGCCAATCCCCTGATGACAACCACTGTGAAGCAGCCTGACGCAGGCCGCAGTCCGGATCAACTCGTTAAGGCTCCTTTTTGTGCCCAGATTCACCAATAGAAATCAGAGTTGTGAGCTATTTATGAGTATGTAAGGATCATTCAAAATATTTACATGAAATTGTATGGAATTTCACTGTGGATTAGTATGAATGAGTTTATACAGATCACCGCATTAAAATGCAAATGCCTGGCTTCATCGTACAGTTGGAATCCTGTGCGAGAGAGTCACGCCCGCGCCACTGGCAAGGCCTCGAGTTGAGGGTGACCGCCTTTCTGAAGTCCGCCAGCATTGAAGGCCCCCACATTTTACATGACGGATTTTCACTTATGGGTTCCTCACTTGGTTAAGTCGGTTAAGTTGAAGGTCCTATAAGAATTTTATAAGACTGGTACGTAGTACATACTGGTACTTATGGGCTTATGACATCAGTTATCATCAGTTTAATGGAGTCCTAGGTATATGGTAATCGCATTAATTGTAATCTGGATCATTGTCTCAAGTTGCGTCCAGGCGCAGATGGGATGTCTGACTTCTCTCCGGTTGCGGCAGTAGGGCCCAACGACCTGCGTTTCAAGGTGCAGCTGCCTTTCCTGGCCCTATCATATGTTTTGAAGTGAAGTTCGCCCGATGGTAAACACTTGGTTTGCTTTCACAGTGTTTGCTGAGGAAAGTCTAGATTCTTAAGACTTTAGGAAGACTCCCTTTGTTTCAAAAGCTTCTGCAGGTCAGCTGGGGCACTGCAAAACGTCCAGCCTTCGGTTTGGGTGTGGACGTCAAGGTTCAGGCTGGAAACACAGACCTCTTGGATTCGGTGCTCATTCTGCTGAGAGGATGTAGAATCTAGAAGCATCAGCACAGTTTGGACAAGGTGATATGCAAGTCAGGGCAGTTACGGAAGAAACAATGAGGATTAATTATTGATTGACTATTGGAGATTGTAGTCGCATGTGAATCTGCCATACTGACATATACTGTTAAACATACTGGAAGCAGGCATTCTTGATCATTGCCATGATTTGTCATCATGCTCAGCTCCTTCTGCAAGATTGAGATGCCCAACTTCAACGGCTCAGAACGCCTGGCTACCAATGGCTACCAGGGATTTTGATCGACAGATCCCAACAGTAGCAGTACATAGCCATGCCATCACCGCAGTTGGGAGGTGGAGGCTGTGGACTTGTCGAGCGGGAAGTCCCAAGCCGCCATGGAGCAAGAGATGAGTCTGCACTTGGCAGTGCTTTCGCCGTCCTTGGACGCTTGGACATTTTGGACCTTTTGGGACCAACATGGACCAACGACATAGCGGAGACGGCTACAAAAAATGCTACAAAAAGGCGAAACAGTTCTGTGATGTCCTGTGATGATAGTGGCCTTGAATGATGTTGCCGTTGTCACCGCTTCACCCAGGAAGTCCAGGGAGAAGTGCAAGTCTTGGCCAGGGAATGGCCAGGAAGCTTGGCAGGTGTCAAGTTGGGAGAGGTGGGGATTGTGTTTTCTGGTGGTGAAATGTGGTGAAAATATAAGTTCCATTGCGATCCGTACTGGTTGAATTTTCATGTCGGTGGGATGTTTTTGGATCATGACAGGTATCTAGCAGTCTCATGCAGTCTCATGGTTATGAGACAGAATCAGCTGATGTTGTAGCTGTCGAGGTACCCTTGAAACGCAATGAAAAACATAGCGGCCAGAGAATGTCCTGAGACTGTCTCTCCATCGAGCTGTTCCAGCAATCGCGCCTAGAATGCCCCAGGGGGTCCAAACCTTTGGCAGATGGTTTTAAGATGTACAACAATAATATACAATAATCATTTATGATTTATGACGTATGCACTATATTATTATAAATATGTGCATGCGACCAGAAGTGAGATAAACATAGATTAACATTGATCAACTTATATAAATTCGCATGTGCATGCATCTCCCTCCCTCACTGCAGGAATGGAATTTCAAGCTTCACCAAACAGAAGCACTCAGGAACCCGAAGCCTTGCACAGCTGATGGTGGCACCCAAGCAATGTCTCACCAGCATGTTGAAGCAAGCTCCACTGCTCAAGTCTGTGCAGATGAAGTCCCTTGGCGCATTTTTGAGACGGCAAACTTGGACGTTTTGAAGGTGGATCCATGCCAATCCATACCAATCCGTATATGTTGGGAGATTCTCATAGATTATCTATATTTGATTCAAGATGATTCAAGTAATCAACTTAAGTTCATACCTTAGGCAAAAGAGTCAGAAACACATGGCAATATACATAATATACACAGTTGTGCCATGTCTTCACACTTTACACATCTTTACACACATATTTGTCTCCATATGCACACGCACACAGCCACACATACCTCTTGCAATGATGGTCGTTTGGGTGGCCAAGGTTCCAGCAACTGGCCGCTCCGTTGAGCTTTGTCACCCGCACCCAGGGTGCCTTGGAGAATGCCTTGGCCAACTTGCTGAACAACGGCGTAGGGCTCTTCAATCAGGCACGCAATTGACATATTTTTCTGCCAGCAGTGCAGAAGTTAGTAATAGTTAGTATGAATTGCGGTGCTGTGGTGTTCATTTTATTAAAAAATAATAGGCGGACATTATGTAGTGATTGCGCGAGTGCATATCTTATATGTATATACATAATCCTTGTTGCAATTTCCTCTACAGAATCGAGGGTGTTGGCACCCCAAAAACCTTCGATTCTGTAGAGCCCTCCTGCACCCCTACTTTGCTACAAAATCAAAGGCCATGGGCTGGTAAGCCCCCAAAAATCGTCAATTTTGGACATATTTGGACTATATATTAGTAGGTCCATGATTCTGTAGACAGGGGCCCCAACAGTCAGCCGGGAGTGCACAAAACCTTACTTTTTGGGCATGCAACTGATTTTGTAGAGATCAGGCTTGTGACACCCTAAGGTCTTTGATTTTCCAGTAAAGCATGCCCCTTAATGTCATATCTTCAGATCTTGATTCTGTAGTGGTTTTGAGATAGTAAGAGGGAATGAATTTGATTCTGTAAAGGATAGTTCCCCTGAAACCATCTGAAACCCTTTTTGCCCAACATGTATGGGCCTTTGATTTTGTAAAGAGAAATCAGATGTAGAATATTGTAGAATTCAGGTTCTTGATTCTGTAGTAATATCATTTCCATAAGACCATGTTTCTTTGGATCCATCAGATTTTGATTCTGTAGTGGTGAGAGATGGTGAGAGGGAATAACCTTGGACTGACTTGTGAAACTTGTAAACAAACTCATGCTACAAAATCAAAGACAGGCATTTGGGACTTTGGATGGGGCTTGTAACTTGTAAGTGCATTCATGATACAAAATCAAAGACAGGATAGACAGGCACTTTGGGACTTTGGATGGGGCTTGTAAAACTTGTAAAATTTCATGCTACAAAATCAAAGACAGGCACTTTGGACTTTTGATGGGACTTGTAAAACTTGTAAAAAATCATGCTACAAAATCAAAGACAAACAAAAAATCTCTACAGAATCGACTCTAACCAAAATCTCTACAGAATCATCCTGGAGGTTTTTACTAAAAACACACACCATATGTTTACTTGATACTTTCTCATGTGAGGTTATTGATTTTGTAGAAAAGATGAATTTGCCTTGTCAGATTATTTTTTTGTGGAAGGTTCTTGATTTTGTAGAAACTAACATCCTAGTCTGGAGAGCAGAGGTTGATTTAGTAAAGAATTTTTTGCACCTGACCTAGGGGCCCTCTACTGGATCGAGGGGTCCAGCACCTCCCCCCTAATTGCAAGGGGGATTATATATATATTATAAGTAGAAATATTACGACCCCTATACCACCACTGTATATACTAGTGTTAGTTCACTCCTTACTGTAGCTATTTTACCAACACTCTAATAGATTGTACAGTCATCTCAATCGTAACACAACCTTCAACTAGATGCGTTAGTTGTAGGTGTAGCCATGTAAATAGGATAGGAATTGACCCCCACCTTTTAATCCAGCAGGGTTGGTCATAGTATCCTATCATAACTTACTTGGCTCAAGCGCCCCATCGCAAAAAGGGGCGTTTGCACGATCCATGGGACAAGGGAGATTAATAGGTTTGTTCTTGTTTTTCCCCCTGTTTCTCTGGTTATCAGCCGTATTGGCTTAGTGTTCTTTTGCTGGGAAAGTCTTAATCTCCCTTGTCGGTAACTTAGGCCCCACGCAACCTCGTTCACTGCCTTTCACTTTTCGCTGATTTCCTGTTTCACCTTTTATGGTACCAGAGGGTCTGTTGGAGGGGGCTGCTTTGAGCGCCTCCGAACCGGTTGCTGACGGGAACCCGGAAGCAGAGGCGGAAGCTGCTGAAAGCGCTGAAGTCACTGTTGAAGGTAGTACTGGATTTAACTGGGCAGACGCCTCTGAAGACCCGCCCGTGCCGACAGCTGGTTTTCAAGTGGGAGGGGCTGCATCTAGCGCCCTAGAGGACGACGCCGACGAGGACTTTGACATCTTGAAGTTTGACGCACTTTCCCTTTTGGATCCGAAGCCGGAGGAAGTAGTCACTACTGAACAGTTGTTTGAAGCACTTGAGGCCGACCTCGATCCCACCGCCGAGCCAGCCGAACAGCTTGAGGCATCCGATCAAATCGAAGCAGAAAATAATCTCGAAGGTGATAACCCCGAAAATCTAATTCCAAAAGAAGAAGCTGATTTTTCCAACAACCCTGATCAGGAAACTAGTGCTGAGGTTCCAGACTCCGCCGCAGATCCGATCTTAGGAAGCTCTCCATCCGTAGTTGAGCCAGATCCTAATTCGACATTTGCTCCGGTATACGTCCAACACCTTGGAGGGACAGCGGAAGAGGACGAAGTCCCACCGCCCCCAACATCACCGTTTCTTGAGCAGGAAGGGGCTGCCGCAGGCGCCTCAACAACTGGGCACGTCCAAACAGGCCATTCTCCTGCAGGACCGTCCAGAGGTCCCCGTGTACGTGGAACCAAAGGCGGGAAGAAAGCCCAAACCAAAAGGCTCATCCAGCGTTGGCAATCCGACTTTGATAAACTAGCTGACTTTCTTTGGAACGAGGCAGAATTCTGGCTCAGGTACGTCCATCACTCAGAAGCAAGTGCTGAACTGATCTGGACTGTCCGTGTCTTTAGAGTCCTCTACAATCATTGTACGCTAAGCCAAATCTTAGTCCATTTTGCTAATTCCTTTGCCCCTTATAGAAATTGGGTTTTTACCAACGGATATCGAAGAGGTGAATTGCATCTTGCTCCAGATACTGCTGCAAATACTGTGCTACCTGATAGGGATCACATTAACTTGCAAGCTTTTGGGGATCCAGATCCACCTAGATCCGTTTGGGACGACTACGATACCTATAGGGGTCCACAACCACAAGGTAAGGCAAAAGCCAAAGCTAGTGTGTTTACCCAAAATACTGAACTACCATCTGGATCCGAGCAAGCTACAGCATTAGGTGTTGACCCAGCATTAGATAGGGGTGTTAGTTCTTCTGAAGAAACCCACACTCCATCACCAAGGGGCCCACCGAAGGCTAAAGCTAGGCCTAAGCCAGTGTCAGAACCCAAGGAACCTAGTCATCCACCGCCGTGGGTGCCATCCCTTCGACCTGCAGGCCATCAACCCGCTCCGAAAGTTTCAGAGTCCGTAGCCAGTGTTCCGCCGCCACGTGCCACGGGAGGGGCTGCTGAAAAGCGCCCTAAACCTGAAAAGGCTGAGCAAGCATCCGATCCAAAAGCATCCGGCGAAGCATCCGTGCCAGAACCGGCCAAGCCTAAAGCATCGGACCCCAAAGTTGCTAAGCCCCCTAAGGATAATCCTTTAAAAAGATTAGGACCCGCACCTAGTTATCCAGCACCACCGGTGCCTGTACATCGAGATTTCCACCAAACTTTAGGACCTCCTCCACAGCGGCCGCCAAGAGCTGCAACGCCAAAAGGAGAAGGGGCTGCAACAGCGATCCCTCCGCCACCATCTCATCCACCGCCATCGGCGGCTGACTTGGATAAGGCAGAGCGTGGGAGACCACGTGAGAGAGCTGGCACACCCCCTGCCCGAAAAGTTAAAGGTGGTAACATCGATAAAACCCCAGCTGCGTCAGCACCTGCTGCGCCTAAGCCAGTGAGCCGATCTAGATCACGGGTTCCAGCCACTCTCACCCGAGAGCTGACGGTTCTTTTGCAGATCAGGACACTGAGGTGTTACGCCGTGCAAGGGGTGGTAACTTAGGTACCCCTAGTCTTAGTTCCCGACCAATAGCCCTAAGACCCACTGATAATAATTATCCTCCTGTGATAATAAACTCTGAGGGCACTTGGGTGCGTATCTCAAAGCCGCCTGGCTCTGTAGGAAGGGAACCCACAACTGTTCCTGTTGCCATTCCTGGCACCGCTACATCATCCGTTGACCCCCACGAACTTGCTGACGAAGTTTGGCGTGATCCGTCATTGGTTGGTAGCAACACTGCATTGGTATCCTCCCATAATACCCAGGTTATCCCGATCTCTGAACCTGAAGGTCTAGTTGCTGTAGACTCAGAGCTTGTTGACGGGGTTGAAGAAGAAGAAGAAACTACAGTTCCTCCACCAAAAAGAAGGGCTATTGTTACAACAACTTCTTCTGGGCGTAGGCAGGTTTATCAATCTCGACGTAGATCAATTCCTCAACCCGAACCAACATCAACTGCTGCTGCGCCAGGTGGGCCTCCATCTGAGCCCGAGGCACCGGACGAGGACCCAGATCCCTCCGATCCAGGTGAACCAGAAGGCGAAGAGGAAGAGGATCACTCATCTGACCCTCCTGAAGCCCCGCCCGAGGGCGAGGAGGAAGTTGAGGTTGAAGTAGAAGTTGAGGAAGGGGCTGCTCCCTTAGCGCCTCAAGAACCCAACACACCATCGCAGGCATCGCCGAAAGCTCCAACTACTAGAGGTAGTGTTAGTAGGTTTTTGTCACCCAGTGCAAAAGGTGCTGAACGTTCTAGATCTCGTCACAGGGACACAACAGCTGAGGAAGAGGCTCCAGTTGCCGTAACAACTTCTTCAACAAGAGTTTCAGGTACAATCCAAACCCAAATCTTTCGAGACGGCACCAAAGCCGAGGTTTTTGTCCCTGATATCCCAAGACCTAAGACTCCTCCAAAATCAATAGGTTCGCCGCCACCTAGATCATCATCCCAACCAGCTAAAGCTAAGCCGCCTCCACCCGGAGTTAGTGCAGCAAGTAGGTCCGCATCAGCAGTTCCACCCTGGCGGGAAGGGGCTGCACGTGCGCCCCAAGGAGGTCCTCCAATCAAAAAGAAGTATAAGGCTCCTCCTAGACCTCCCTATAACTACTCCGTAACTGTTGGCCAAGCTTACGAGCCAGGTGTTGATCCAGATCCACCGGCGCCGACCGAGGAGGAACTCAACGCGGCCTGGGCACGTTCAAAAAAACGACAGGACCGAGATTGGGAAAGACACGTGGAGTCACTTGCCGATCGCAAACATCGCC